TACAATTGAAAGCCAAAAAACCACACTAGAGATAAGACAACTAACATCTCTAATGAAATAAGACAACTAACATCTCTAATGAAAAAGACGATAACCAAGAGACGACTGATCCAAAGAGAGCTGATAGGAAGATAAACCTAGGGCCTTATTCGTCTTGAAGGAGTGATAGCATACCTCATCCCAATCTATTTCTTGTGCCCCATTCATATAGAGATAGGGTGAGACAAGGGCGTAAGGACCTGATCCAAACCTTGCCAAAGAACTTCGGTTAAGTGAACTGATTTTAAAACCGGAGATCAAATGGCCCATTGGTTGTCTAGAACTCGAAACCGAGGTCTCGGTCGAAGCCTTAATCAAATTGAAATTAGCATCCAAACCAAAGCATAACAACTTCATAACCTATAAAACCCAGATCGAAGGAGAAGCAACAATGCAAATCGATGGTGAAGAGGATATATCAAATCAGAACAGAGGAAGTGCCTTTGAAGCTCTGACGTATCACAACATATCCGGCACCGAGACCCCTGAATATTCCTAACCTCTAGAGAAGCTCAAGAGACACCACCAAAACCCGTGATTTAAAGTCCACCAACACCAAACAAACCCACACAATCCAAACTTACATTCTAGAGCATGTAAAACTTGAACCACTATTAACAAACCTATCCGATGGATTGAAGATACGGAACCCAACCACCACCATAAGAGAAACGGAGGCTAGAGCACAAGACACATAGACCAAGTCCCACTGCTGTCCACCACCGTCGAAGGTCCGACATAAAGATGACGGCGAGAAGGAAAGCAAACACCGGCGAGAGCCCAAATCTAGACCTATCTCGAGACTGAATGATCCAAGGACCAAGCGACGAAAGCTAAGAACCAGCATCTCCATCCTAGACCAAGCCGTAGCCAAACCACCGAACCAAACCCAAAGGATAGCATTGAAGGTTTTTTAAGCTATTTTCCCTTTAATTAATACATGACACATGGTATTTTCTTGTAACACTAAAATAGGACTCGCGTTGATACGTGGGTAAACACATTAAAAATTATTAATATAAATGTTTAAGTTTTATTTAGTTACTTGCTGAATTACAAAAATATTTTTAATTACTATTTAAACATGAGTTTTAAATTATTAGAGATCAATTTATATCTTAATTTCAATATCATAATTCATATTATGCAGACTCATATCTATAAGTAACTGAAAAATATTCTAACGGGTTATAAATACTCCCTCTTTTTGTAATTACATAATGTTTAAGGTTTATGCACTCTAATTAAGAAATCATTTAATTTTTATTGTTTTCTAAAATA